CAGGGTGATATGCGGTTACGAACGATCCCCTTGGGGAACCGGGCGAAACCTCATTGTAAAGTAGGAGAAATCGATAAGCGGTTATTCCATTGGCGTTGGCCATTATCAGAGTTTATGAATGCAACAGCTTATTTGCAGAAACCAAATCCGCACTGTCCTACAAAAGGAATAATTTGAGCACATTACTACATTACCGTTGAAGGCATTTACTGAAATATGTATATATTTTCCTATTTTTTGTAAATAATCATCGGAAAACGGAACACAGGCCCTGTATATCATATTAAAAACTTGCAGTCGAACAAACTTTTGATGAGTATTTGGTTCCACAACAAATCCTATCACAACACAACAAAGTTTTTGTTTCGGGGTTGAAATTAGATGATTTTAATGTATTTCCACGTGTTAAAACCGAAAGTGACCATAAAAATTATATATTAGCTCTTGTTTTCAAGATATAGTATCTCGCATAGAAGTGCACCTTGCAGTGATTCAAATTTTTGATAAGATTGAAGGAGTAATGAGCAAACAGGATCGGCCCAAGTATAGAGACTTGTGGTACTCCGCGAGATAGGGGAGATGAAAAAGTTCCATCAAACGTAACTCTTTGACTTCTTCCATTGAGATAATTGGCAAGCAAGGTGATAGCTGAAGTTGACAGACCAACGTAATTTAAAATCAATATCAATAAATCGTGGTTTATAGCGTCAAAGTCAATAACTTCACCTATTACAAAATGACAGAACATTTAATAATTTCCTGAAGACAAACACATCAATATCGATATTTCTGAAAATATTCTTTTTTATCTGACATATGGCAATTCCAACAACGCGAAAAGGTTTGTTAAGTTATTTTTTGTTTATAACTACAAAAAATATCAGTACGACAATGAACATCATTGTTCAGTTAGAATTTTCTCATTTAATTTTCGGTTTTACTAGTAGAAAGTACCTCGTCAAAAATCTCTGAAATGGTCAATTCTCGTCAATTGAAAGGAGAAATTGAGGCGATTTTTATTTACGGTGCGATGCGTAACTTTCACGAGACCGAAAGGATTTTCAATGTACGTTTTTCAAATCGTCCTATCTGTATAAAATATTTGAGGGAACTTGTATCCAAATTCACAACTACCGGTAGTGTACACAACAAAAATTCCCGAGATCATCCGTCCATTCCGGAAGAACAGCAAGTACAAATAATTGGTGAGATGGTAGTAAATCCTGAACACTCTACTTATTGTGTTGTGAATGTTTGTGTGTGTCTCCTTCTACTGTGTGGAGACTTTTGAAGAGGAATATGTATCATCCATACAAAATTAAAATGGTACACCAACTAACTGAAGTTTCGGAGAACAGAATCCTGCGGAAACCATTGCAAGGCATCCTACCTATCTCTACAATATTTGTTTTAGTAACGAATTTACATTGTTTTAAACGGCAATGTTCACAGATAAAATTGCCGTTATTGGAGTGACACCAACCACCAGGAATATTGGGAAACCATATTGTAGGACCTCTATTTATTGATCAAAATTCAACAGGGGAACTGTATTTGAATATGCTGGAAACTACTGTTGACCCTCTCATCACTGAAATCATCTAAGCGAATCCTAATGATTTCGATATGAATATTGTATTCCAACAAGATGAAGCACCACCAAATTACTCCAGACAAGTAAGAAATCATTTTGATACTACTTTTCCCGGTCGTTGAATTGGCCGTCGAGGTCCTACAAAATGGCCAGCCTGATCGTCAGATTTGACACCTTCGGACTTTTATTATGGAGTCATTTGAATCAAAAGGTGTACGAAACTGAACCTGCTTCAATATTGGATATAGGTACGGCAGAGAATAATGAAGATTTGTAGAGATATTGACATTAATTATTTAAAGTTCCGCCATTTTGTAGTAGTTTGAAACATTAACATTATATTCTAGGGTTGTGAAGCATTTGTCAGGAGTTTCAAAAAGATGTATCACAAGACACCCCTTTCCATTTAATTTTTTTTCCAGATGGCGTCCAGTCGCCATCTTGAAAATTTCATCTGTCAATTTTGAGTTGTCCCGTTTAAAAAATAAAAGGGGGGAACTTTAAAGAAATGCACTGTATAATATAAAAGCATGTCCCTTCAGGAGAATCGTTACAATTTGGCAATGCCACAACGAAATTTCGAAAATAACGCATGGCACATTCAATACGATCCACCCGGTATAAAAATATGATAGGCTCATTGAAATTTACTAACTTTATTCTCGAATGATTCATGATTTTCGTATTTATTTTATTTGTTCCTGTCACTCGTCGTTTCTCCGAACTAATTCAGTTTATCTTGCATTCTGGTATTTTCCCTTTCGATCTAAATAAACAAACATTTTGATATCTCTTCCGGGCAACAAATTCTTATGCTAAGCCTCTGCAGTCAAATTCACGCTTGTTTATTTCACCATTCCATTTCAGATTACTCAAACTTCGAAAAATGCCGTTGATTACTTAGATTTTCTTCAAAATAAATAAGTCCCTGAACCTCGTGAAGAATTGAAAATGGTCTCCAAGTTTCAAGAATGCATTCCTTTTGACGATTCCTGTACTATTATACTTTTGCTTAGTTGAAATTATTTTATCTAATCTTTATAGGTTCTTAAGTTGTTATGGTCAAGTTTTGAAATTACCTTGTGATTTTTGATAGCAAACTTCCTTAAAAACACAGGTTATCGAAACATATTATTCCAAAATGCAACTTTCTATTCAGTTGTTCTTGTGTCTTTTGCTTTTCACCCATTCCTATACCAACTTAGTTAAACGATCTTTCGGTAGAACTTGTAAGTATTACATTTTAAAATTAATATATCATAACTTTTTTGTTAACCCGCAATTATCTAATGGATTATTCCTCATAGAAACAAGTTGGCAGTGAAGGACATTACGTCGAACGGAGAAAATGGGGTTTTTGTTTTTAGTAAGGTCGATCAGATTAGTTTCCACAAACTATGTATGTTGAGATCCATAAAATAATACACCTTCGCGAACAATTCTGAAGGTTTGCAATTCCATCATCACCCGAAGATGATTGTGGATACTAACAATCGAAACGTCGTGAAGTAAGAACAATGGAAGTCCAAACTAATGAGATTCAAGTATTACTTCATTTCAAACATTTCCAACTTCCCAATACTTCCGACTATACCAAAAACTAACCACAACTTTATTATTGCAAGTAGAATACCCAGTATATTCAGTGGTTCTCTTTTTTTTGTCTAATATGTACGGATTTTGAGATATATATTTTCATAATTTCTCTGATGAAATGAAGTTTTTTAATACAGAAATCTCAGAAGATGTGGAAAACAACAAAAACAATCTGGCCAGTCATACCATCGAAGTTCAATCTGTAATTCCAGTCAAAGGACTTGAACAATCGAAAAAGTCCTGTGGAGGAGGGTGAAGGTTTTGGATTTCTACTTCTCCATGTTTATACAAAAAATGTGGGTTTTGAGTTCAAAAAAGGGATGGGACATATATTATTGTGAACATCTGTGGCGCTAAGCATTCTAGCCGTATAGCCAAATATTAAAAAAATATTTGTCTCGGAACTGTAAGCGATATTATAGAGTTTTAAAACAAAACTACTTACTACATATATCAAATCACCAAATAACGTTCCTCACTGGGATACCAATATTTTTGGAGATTCGTCGATATTTGCTTGCGCAAACCATATAAATGGTCGCTTAAGATGTTGAAGCATTCCAACCTCAACAAATAAATGTTGGGCATTGAACTGTTGAATAATATATTTTTCTATTCAATAACAATAATGAAATAAAATCAATTTAGAACCCGTTACCATAATTCTAGACAAAAAAGTGACAAATGTCCAACATTTTTTCATATTCATCAGTATTCTAGTGGATCCTTCGTATGTAAGAAAATCACCTGTTGATATTTGCTTGCGTAAACCATATTTACGGTCGCTTAAGATATTGAAGCATTCCAGCCTCAACAAATAGATGTTGGACATCAGATAGATAGATAATTTAAGGACCTATCCAATAATAATAATGAAATGAATTGAATACAGAAACCATTATCATAATACTACACAAGAATGTAACACAGGTATAAAAAATATAAATCATTTATAACACATGACCAAATGAAATAAAAACTATCATATCATTTTGAATAACATAGTAAGAAATTTATGAAATAGTAAAAATTCAAGTGTGCTTCATACAGGGTAGCTGTGACAATTATGTCACCATGGCTTCGGTGGCATATCTCTATCCGATGGTCCATATTTTCAATGACTCAGAGACATAATTGAAGTTCAATGTCGTTAATACCGAATTATCTCATCCTTTACCTCTTGAATTGTTCTTGGATTCTTAATGTACACTTTTCCTTTTAAATATCCCCTAAGAAAGAAGTCCAACGGTGTCAAATCACATGATCGTGGCGGCCAATTAACATCACCATGAGATTAAATAACACAATCGNGGGTTGCGTTTTCCACCCCTTACAACCATGGGGTAAACCAAATAAATTACTGGCTAAGTGTCTTTTTGCTAGTACAAAACGTCAGGTTAATTTCAATATTGTAACTTTTTCAGTGCTTGTGAAAAAAATTGTTATACAAATTTCATGTACCCCATTTAAGGGGCTCTATCTTAACAAGGGATGCTCCACAGGGATGAGGAATCACCTCCTTAAATGTTTTACATTTATTCAGTTACACCCTGTAGAACTATCACTCGAAGTATGGAAAACGATAATTTAGGATTTCAAATTTATTTTTGGGCATTTCCTCCTCACTTTTGAAAGCAAAATATAACATACCCATACCTTTCTTATATTTTTTTAAACGTTTTTAGTAAATCTTATACTTCAGCATTGTATATGAATAGTACTAACCCAACTTCATAGGGAAGAATTTACTGGTCTTTGTTCAATATATTATGATTCGTGAATTGATCTGAATGTTTACCATCCTTTCCAGCATTAGTCAGCAATGCCATTGACCTGCCATCAAGCCAGCCCGTGGGGTTATCAGGAATACCAGTTTTTGCAAACAACCTGAGAAGAAGATGTCCCCAATGCGACTCCTCAGTCTACAGCTATTGCTCCGATAAACTGTTCCACGATTCTTGTTGTTGTCACAATCCAAACAATCCATACGGTAAGAGAAATTTATGGTTTCCTACCTGAATCATTCAAAATAAAAACCCTTTGAATGAAAATTTTAAATTTTCGACCCGAAATACTTTACCGATCTCTCTTGTTTTCATTTTAGATCGTGTTCCACCTCAGTGTAGATACGCGGACTGTAGTTTCCTTCACGCGAACAGCTGTTCGGAACACAAACTGATAACTGCTTGCTGCTGCACAAACTTCGTATTATATAGAAAATGAAAACAAAATATTTTATAAAACATTATTTATTGACTTTCTTATAATAAATTATTTATTACATTGACTTTTGAATTGTTTCCGTTAAGACTACCTCCACTAGGTGAACATCCGTTTTACCTTGTTTCTTTTGCGCCCCAAAATACGAGAACTATATGAAAATATTCGAAGCACCATTTATAGTCCACTTTAAAATTACCCAGTCATGTAATTTTTTTCTTAGGAGAATGATTTCTGAAATATACAGAAATGTAATTCGGAGATAACTGAGTAAATTCAATTCAGACTATTTCAGAAAAATTCACGAAATATTGCTTTTAGTAACTAAAATAAATCAGTCTTCAAAAACAGTAACAAAAAGAATAAATACGACGAGGCAAAAATATGGCACGAAAACTGTACAATCGTTATTCTACACCATGATCAATTCCAATTCTAGTGTGAAAGTTAATTTCATTAACAATCGGATTTCACTCTATATATATTTTTGTGCAATACTAACATAGAGTGAGAAATATTAACTTCATAGGTTAGTCGTTTTAATGACTTGCTCTCTGTGAACATTCATTTGATTCTCCCCAATAAGAATTACGACTTTTGATTCTGGACTCACATTCACAGAAAACAAATCGAAATCAGCAACAAAACAGTTCACATTCAATTCCTCAGAAAATAATATTCCAAAACATAACCTCCAAAAAACGTTTTGAAACTCGGAAAAAGATCATCCCTCAAATGTTCTGGTAACCCTAGAAGCCATGATCAAGATAATAAAAATAAAACTTCTCTGAATGATGTATGTTTGGCCCTTAGGGTCGCTTTTTTAATCGCCGCTAATCTTTAGCTGGACGCTAGTCTCAGTTAAGTACAGTACAGATAATTTTGATTTCTGTCAAAAGCAGCTTTGTTTCTTAGCAGTACATTGAAAAACCTGGCCTCATCAGACCACAAAAAGTCACCTTATTGTCGACGCAGAAAGGCAGACGTATGTCAAAAGAATTTACAATTCGAGGCGAAAGTTTCAAAGGGAATTTTTTCGAAAACTCGACACTAAACAAAGCTAAGTATTGAAATATAATTTTTTTCAACCGATGTTTTTCAATTTGTAGGCAAAATTTATGAATACAAGTTACTGCCTAATTGGACTGTTCAGTGATGTACAGTTCATTTTGAAATTTGGGACAAGGAAATTAACGCATGAATACTTTATTTTGAAGTGAAATTGACAGATGTTACTTTCAAGATGGCGACCGGGCGCCATCTGGGAAAAAAAAACTTAAATGGAAAAGGGGGGGTCTTGTGACATATCATTTTGAAGCTCCTGACGAATACTTCACAACCCTAGAATATGAATTCAATATCTTCATCTACTACAAAATGGCGGAACATATGATAATTTACTAAAGACAAACACATTAATATCGATATTTCTAGAAATATTCCTTTTTATCTGCCATATGGCAATTCCAACAACCCGATAAGGTTTGTTAAAAGCTATTTTTTGTTTATAAAAACGACAAAATAAGATGTCAATACGATAATGAATATCATTGTTCAGTTAGAATATTCTCATTTAGTTTTCTGTTTTATTAGTAGAAAGGTACCACGTCAACAATCTCTAAAATGGTCACTTCTCGTCCATTGGAAGAAAAAATTTAAGCGATTTTTATTTAGGTGCGACGCGTAACTTTCACGAGACCAAAAATAATTTCAATGAACGTTTTCCGAATCGTCCTATCTGTAGAAAATATCTGAGGGAACTTGTATCCAAATTCACAACTACCGGTAGTGTACATAACAAAAAGACACCAGGTCATCCGTCCATTCCGGAAGAACAGCAAGTGCAAATAATTGGTGAGATGGTAGTAAATTCTGAACAGTCTACTTATTCCGTCGCGAATGTTTGTGAGTCGATATGGATATTGTATTCCAACAAGATGGAGCACCACCACATTACCCCAGACAAGTAAGAAACTATTTGGATACTACTTTTCCTGGCCGTTGGATTGGCCAGCCCGCTCGCCAGATTTGACACCTTTGGATTTTTTATGAGGCTATTTGAGGAAAAAGGTGTACGAAACTGAACCTGCTTCAATATTGAATATACGGCAGAGAATAATAAATATTGGTAGAAATATTGACGTTACTGTGTTCGAAAATGTTCGGCGTGAAATATCGGATAGTCTGTCCGTATGTCAAGAAGTTCAAGGCAACCATTTCGAGCATCTTCTGAACTGACCTCAAGCTTATTACCTCATATTATGTAGTTAAATGTCAATGTATTCAGGTAATTATTAAAAGTTCCGCCATTTTGTAATGGTTGAAGATATTGACATTATATTCTAGGGTTGTGAAGCATGTGTCAGGATTCAAGACCCCCTCTATTTCCATTTAATTTTTTTTCCAGATGGCGCCCAGTCGACATCTTGAAAGTTTCATCTGTCAATTTCACTTCAAAATCAAGTAATCATGCATTAATTTCATTATCCTAAATTTCAATTTTTTGAGTTGATCCGTTCAAAAAATAAAAGGGGGGACATTAAAGGAATGCACTGTACATTACTTAGTAACTTTTTGGATTGAACTTTTCAGTTTGCCCTTCATTACACATTAGCATATTTTCTATTGGTTTAGCTTTCTATATTTTTCAGATTGCGGAAGCTTATATACCCAAAAAAATAATAAAAAGTATTGAGTCCTCCACAAAAAATGTCTTTCCAAGTATATTAGGCCATATATTGTATTCACAACCACTCAATCACTATCAGACAAAATATTTATAGTTTCATTGAAACTACATAATTTTACATAATCTATAATAAATTTCTTAGTTAATGATGATTAGATTTGAATATGCCGCCAAGTAAAACGTCTTTTTTTGACAAGCCAATAGAAAGAAACCTCCAAAAAATTTCAAATGAAACAGATATAAACCAGTTGGAGGGTGTAATTTTCACACAGCTCCACAAATAAAAACAATGCAGTTTTTTCATGTACAACTAGTTTGATTTAATTGAATTCTGTTCAGGGTTAGAAACTCAAACAAAACACGAATTTCTTATTACTTTGAAAAAGGTTGAGATGAATTTTCAAATGATTGATGAAGGATCATCAGTGGAGAATGGAGGTTATGTTGAAGGAACTGCATTTTCTCGTTTAACAAATTATCACAAAAATTCTTAAAAACTAGGCAAATCGTCGCGAAACGAAGAGACAGCGGAAGAAACTTTATTGCAACTATTTGGAAAACTACCACTGCCTTTCGTGAATCTTAGTTCAATGAACCAGTTTAACTAGAATCTATCCCTCTTTACCACAAGCAGAAGGCAGCAGTGATTGTGCTTAATAAGTTTTAAATATCGCAGCTTAGCCTAGAACCGTTCACTGTTCCACTGAAAAATGGTTTGGTGTCAACGTTGAAAGAATCAATCAAGATGACTGGTAGTAACAAATTTCATGTATACTGTACTGGTCTTGAGGGTTTTAACAACATAATTTTAGGGCCATAACCATACTTATGAGTCCACATATTCTTTAAAACACAATTCACTACAAAAAAAGGTTTTGCAATGAAGTTTGGAAAGTAAACCAGGTTTTACAGTCACCTTGTTTGATTAAAAATTCTTCCAATTCCAGCTACTTTGAATCCTTAGTGATGTTCAGGTAATTTAACGCTTTATAAATAGGCCTTTGTCCCTATCAAAGCCGTAAAAACCATGAATTGAGGTTTGCTGAATGGAAGTACAGGCAAAAATATCAAAAGTCAAATGACAATTACAACCAAATAAGTTTTAAATGAATTTTCCCAACCCACAAAGTCCAAATTTATGCTAGATAAGACATAAGGAAGTTGTAACTTTTAACGTGTGATTCCTGTCACTTCAGAAATTTTGGATAATAGCCTACCTAGGCTTATTTTATTTCAAGGTAGATTTTAGCAGTTGGAATCCTTTGGTTATGTCATCAATTTTGTTCTCTCAAGAAAAATGTTGGAATGCTACGAACAAAATGTTTATATACAACTAGAAATTATGTATATACTAATATACAAAGTTCAAAATGTACCACATTGACTTTTGATTTATGCCAACTTAATCCAGAGTCAAATTAATAATCACAAAAATTGAAAAAAAAAAAAGAGTTATATATGTATAACCCTTGGTGATATGGTAATGACATGATTAAAATCCATGTACTGTGAGATAAAAAGAGAAATATTGAGATATTCTTACAAATTGAACAATAAAAAGTATAAGTATATCAAATCTAGTTTTTATTGAAATAGAATATTGTCAAAGATTTTCAAATCAAAGTGGTATGTATCGCAAGTTATTTGTACCATCTTATGGTTTTCTGTTTCCTTTTTCTTTTCTCCATTTATCTGTGTTTCTGTAGTATGTGGTCCTGACCTCACACCAACCTTTCAGTAAGTCATGATTATGAAAAAAGGTATAATTGAAAATGATGAGCCTAGTGTAGTTATTAGATATTAGATAGGTAGTAGATATTACCTGACTGACCAAAGTTTCACTTGAAGATAGTTAGTGTGGCAACACTGCAAGAACTCCTCCTTTGTATCGTCATTAATATTTTGAATATGATTTTGACATTCTTTGAAACCTGTATTGAGTTAAAAAAAAGTTTGTTAAAATCTTTCTTATTAGTCAGTGACCTATGCTTGAAGACTGGCAGTAAACAAATCTAAAGAAATGAACTTTAAAGTTCAAGCCAGTCTCAAATATACCTACAAAGTAGGTTGAATGGACTGACGCCTATCAGAAAACAACTACTCCTCTGGCTAATATCACGAAGGGCGTTGGATTATATGCAATTGGCAATACAACTGAAAGAGTCGACCCTCAATTTTGGAACGGGCACACTTGCAGACCGGTTTCGAGCTCATTAGCCACTCGTCAGTGCAAGATAGTGGCCATCATCGACCTAAAGTCAATGATATTCCATAATTGAAACTCTGACGCCAGGGGAGTGGTTGTTTTCTGATAGGCGTCAGTCCATTCAACCTACTGTGTAGGTATATCCGAGACTGGCTTGAACGTTTAAAGTTCATTTCTTTAGATTTGTTTACTTATTCAGAGGAATCGGGCAAATTTCGGATATGCAGTTGGTTAGTTAGTACCTCGTCCACTAGATGGAGCAACATTTTGTTGTTCGCTCCAACTTAGGAAGAGGAATGAAATACTCTGAAAGAATTCCGATTTTCAATTACGGAATATCATTGACTTTAGGTCGATGATGGCCACTATCTTGCACTGACGAGTGGCTAATGAGCCAGAAACGGGTCTGCAAGTGTGCCCGTTCCAAAATTGAGAGTCGACTCTTTCAGTTGTATTGCCAATTGCATATGCAGGAAATTTTCTGTGAAGATTCCTGCACTGACGCCTGTCGGATATAATTTAACGCCTTTCGTGGTATTAGCCAGGGGAGTAGTTGTTTTCTGATAGGCGTCAGTCCATTCAACCTACTGTGTAGGTATATCCGAGACTGGATTGAACGTTTAAAGTTCATTTCTTTAGATTTGTTAAAATCTTTTGTGAACCAGCTATTACTCCCTTACATACATCTCTCAAAATTCGAAAGTTGAGAGAGCTAAGGATTAAGGAGGTCTTACCTTTTAACGTGCGATTCTTAGCAGTAAGTTTTTCTTTATGATAGTTTCCTTACTCGATTTTTTTTTCAGTTTTCTATTCAGCGAACCGAAACGCACAAGATTTTTGAATAATCACCGCAAAGCGTGAAATTACCTATTTCAAAAGCACGATGCGAAATTGTACCATAAAAATTAAGATCCAACGGTTTGACTACTTAGGCTCTCGGTGTGCCTAGAGCTGGGCAAAGGTTTCGAAATGCCCAACTTCACAACCCCAGGTGGGGTACCTTTGAGCGCCTGAACGGCCTGATCCAGAGAAGCGTTCTTGATAACTTTACCATTGACGCTTACCAGTCTGTCGCCTGGTGTTATTTTTCCGTTTTGCTCTGCCGCTCCTTTCGGGACCAAACTTCTCACTACTATGACGCTGGATTGAGCGTCCATGGGATCCTGATAGTCCAGTATGGAGAATCCGAGACCGCGGTCTGTCTTGACAAGTTCCACGTATTCTATTTCCTCTGACCACATGGCAACGTTTGTAACTTCTAACGAGCGAGATTTAGCTTTCTGCAAGCTTGGTTCATCTGTAACTGAAGAAAGCAGAACCGCAGCTGTAAATATTTAAACTGCCGAAGTGGTGCAAAACT